AGCAGCAGCAGCAGCAACATGGATCGCCGCGTACACCTTTAGCCGCATTCGAACGTCTTCTTAGCGTGCATTTGACGATGCGGAACAACTACGAATCTCTTCGACAAAGCCAACAGGTCGTGAGTAGCTTCTCCATGGCGTGCGCGGAGGCCCTGCAGCAGTTGGGATTGCCGCTGCGCCGTGAGAGACGGCTCTGCGGAGGAAACGAGCATGACATTGTGGTGGGGATCCGAGATGGGGCAGCAGCTGTCGAGGACGCACCTCCGCCGCCGCTGCTCTTCTTAGACGCCGACTCCCCACTCTACGGCGCACCGATTGCATTCCCGCCAGCCCCAGTGGACGCCCTGCTGCTGATGACGGGCGCGCCCAAGTGCAGCTCACGCACAGAGGGCGGGGATCTGCTGTTAGCAACAATGGAGTCTGACAGCTCGGGTGGCTCATCGACAGGCGCGGAGAAAAACGCGGCTGCCAGCGCAGATGATTTGGAGCACATTGCCGTGTGGGGCGCCATCACGCCGGGCCTCGAGGAAGTAATTGCAAGCCTTCAGAACGTCGATGTCGCAGACATCGTGCGCCTCATGGAAACAGTTACATACTTCAAATGGGTGAAGGATGAAGAAGTGTTGGGGTGGCGAAATGGGTCTGAGGCAGCGCGGTTGCGTATGGATGTTTCCGCGCTTCACGCTGCTGTATCGGGGAACTCCAAAGCAACAGCAGCAACAACGCAACACCCTGCCGACGTTGGTGAACTGCGTCTTGCAGTGGAACGCGCGGCAGAGACGTTCATTGACCGTATTCCCCGCATCGATCGCGTGGGGATGGCAACACAAGCGGCGGCGATGGATTCAGCTGCTTCGTCTTTGGCACCACACGTGCACGTCATTGACCTCATGCTGAACGTTCTGATCCGCGTTTGTCTGTGGCAGTGGCCTGGTGTGGCGTTTGGTGACCAGACGTTCGTTGTGCTGCTGTGCACATTCCCTTGGTTTGTTCGAGATCTAAGTGTGGAAGCGGCGTCGTGGATGACGTACTTCCACCTGCGCGCGCTAATGGCCGGTGACATGGGCATGAGCCACCAGCAAACATTCCTCTACGTGCAGCGCCTCCGTCGCCTCTGCTGGCCGGCTGCCCACGACGTGGACTCCGCCCTTGTGCGTAAGCTGTTTCTGCTGGAGAAGGCGCCAGCCGAGGCGGACGGCGATGATACAGGACCGAATGATGTAGGGGAGGCGCAAGAGCAACTGAAACACCAGTCGAAGGTACAAAAAACCAGGGCCGATATTGTTCCCTCTTTTCGAGAAACGGTGTGTATTCTTTACGGTAGCTTCAGAAAGCAGCGTGTGGCCTACGAGCTCTTGCTGCTGTGGCTGAAGCATGCCCATCCAGCAGACCTTCACCGCACTTCCCCTCACTCACACTACATTAGCGCCACCGGTGTTACCATCTCTGACATTGATCGCTTTGTGACGGAGCGTTTGTGCGCCAAACAGGAGGAGAGACAGTGGGTCTTGCTGCGCGCGTCTGTTGACAACGCTGCCGCCGCTGCTGCTGTGGAGCACCTCACACAATGCTGCCAGACACCATACGTTTTGACGCGTCTGTTTATGTGCAGCTACCACAATGTTCTCCCACACATTTGGCAGAGTATTGGCGCGAGGCGGAGGAATTTGCTTTGGGCTGCATGGCTGCGCGGTGTCGCCAAGCCGCTGGTGAACGTCGTCCTCATGAATCCGACAGCGAAAGAAAAAGGTGCTTGGCGGTTTTTGGAGCCTTTAATAGTTATCTTGACCTCTGACGTTATCTTTCTGCGCCTGATTACGCGCCTTGTCATTGTCTCGTTGGTCGAGCTATGTTCAGTGGGCAATAGTCAACCGCTAGAAGAGTCGTGCACACGCCTTATTGAAGTTGTCTACATTGGCGCTCTTGTTCTCCACTGCAGCACCGATACTGCGTCGAGTGGCGGTGATCTTGCTGAGGCAGCGTCTGCCGCAGCTGCAGCTCCTGTGGCAGCGGGCGTTTCTACGATGGATGGGCGGCAGCAGCAGCCTACGATCGTTGCGATCCGGCGTCCATTCAAGGAAGCCGTCAGTACGCTGGTGCGAGAACTGGGCTCTGAGCACGTGCCGATGGCCCAGCACCTCCTTGAAGCCTTGTTTGAGCTAGAGAGTAGCAACGCGGTGAGAACAGAGGTGCCTCAGAGCATTAAGTGGGAAGTCTTGCAAATCTGCGACGAGGAGTCTCACAACATGGTGAAGGAGTGGCTGAGCCGTAGGGCTTCCCTCGCGCAGGAGCCGGATGTGCCGTTGGAGGAGCCTCTCCTCCGCGAATGGCATCAGGCGGTGCAGGGGGCGGATGCCGGTCTCTCAGTGCCGCTGCCCGACCTGCTGGAGTGCTGCCGCCGTCTGCTGGGGCTGCTGAAGAAGCGACACGGTCCCCTCGTGGCCGAACAGCATCAACAGCTTGCCAGTGCTGCGGGTGATACGAAAGCAACTACGGCAGTGTTCACCGCGGGTGAGCTGCAAGTGGTGCTGAGTGTGCTATCCAGGGCAATTCTTTCACGCATTCCCTCCACGAGAGTCTTGGGAGTGCCATCGATTGCGCATGAAGTCGCCTCTCTCACGTCATCCACAAATGGTGACGTGTGGAGCGGCGGCAGTAGTAGTAGTAGCAGCAGAAACAACAGCAGCGCCGCTACCACCAGCAGCAGCACTAGTAGTACTAATAGTAACAGCGTTGGCCGGAAGGACCAAGAGGCACAAACGGCTGTTGTGGTTGCCGACGCTGCTACAGATCGAGTGGTGCTGCTAGAGAAGGTTCTGTCTGTAGAAGTCACAGCCAAGGCGCACGAGCTCCCATTTACCTCACTCCTCGAGGCCATCATGCTGCACCTCGTGCCGTACAGCACGTTGCAGATCCCATACAACACACTGCATGAAGGGCGGGGACAAGGCTGCGCCCACTGGCACGCATTGGTTCAGCAGCTGGAAAAGAGCATTCAAACTCGGCGTCATTACCGTCTCACTTGTAACCTCGTGCTATTCCGTTGCTACGCCTTCGCGGCGCCGCAGGATCAGGGCTGGCAGGATGGTGCACCAACGCGTAGGACCAGCCATCAGGATTGCGATGGCACTGCGGCATCCAACATCGAAAGCCGCCTGCTGCAGAAAATAACGTGTCTGCTGCTGAAGGCCTTGGTACGATCCGAGATGAAGCACAGTGTCCTACAGAAAAACAAAAAGTTGGCGGTAGCAGCGGATGTTGTTGCTGCGACAGAGCAGGAGCCAGAGGCGCGGCTCGAGCAGGTAGAGCGTATCCTTGGATGCCACGCGCTGGCGGCTTACATGCGCCTTGGGTCCTCCGCACCCGGGCCTCTTTCACTACGCGACGCCTATGAGGTCTTCTTGCATCGTGGCGCGGAGGCCGCTGCAAGAATCGCAGGCCCGCACAACGACAGCGACTTGCTGTTCCTATGGCTGGCCGCGAGCGCAACGGTGGTGGGAGTGCACTTCCACCCAGCACGGGTGTACACCTGGCCAATCACGGGAGGGTCAACAGCATCATCACCGCCAGGTGAATCAGGTGGGGAGGTGCGGTGCACGTCGGTGGAGGAGAGGACGGCGCGACTCGTTTGCGATCTTGCTCCGTACGTGCAAACAGAGCTCCTTCGCACAAGCCCACGGCTGAAGTTTGTTGTGAACACTGTTGTGGCGCTGCAGGCGTTTGGGCGTTTGGGCATCAACATTGACGCGAGTTCCCTCAACTTGGATCAGCTCCTGCAACGCGCGAGTGCAGATCGCCGACTGCTCCACCGTCATCTCAACCTCTTTCTCATCGGATGCTCTGCGTTGCCCAGCACACGGCAGGCGTTGCTGAACACCGCCTCTTATCTCCGCGAGGTGCGAAACATTCTCTCGCCAGCGGAGATTGCGCGTGCCTTCGTGGCGATCACATTGTCGGCCAACGCGTTCGCAAAGCAGCACGAGGCGCAGGCTGACCTGCAGCAGCATGGCAACCTGCTCGACGTTGCCCACAGCACAGCCCCCACGATGCGTGTGACACCGACGCAACTCCGCCACGCGTGGAGTGCACTGGCACGCCGCGTGCTGGAATTTGTCGAGGAGGTGCCGACGCATGTTTTGGTGAAGGGCGTGGAGTGCGCTGGTGCTGTGGCGTGCGTGGACACACTTGTATACCAGCAGCTTCTTTCTGTCCTGGTGGAGTTTCGGCAGGATGAGCTTTCGCTGTTGCATTGGGTAGTGATGCTGCGGACGGCGCGGCAGTCCTTCGAGAACCAAAGGGAATTCGGGGAGTACCTGCGTCAGCCACTGCAGTCATTTCTGCTTGCGCTGGAGACACCAGACGCTGGGGCCTGCGCACAGGTGCAGCAAGGACAACAGAAGCAGGACGACGAGCCTAATCCAGCACAGTTGGGGGAGGAACTCTGCCTTTTTGTGGAAGCACTGCCGGAGCTGTTCATGGAGGATGCCGAATTCTGGGGGCTCCTGCGCCGTGCTCTTCGAGTGCAATGGATGACGCACTTCAACGACGCTGGTGCGAGCGAGCAGCAGCAAGAGGCAGCCGCCATGTGGCTTCAGGAGCTCACAAAGAGTTATGCATGGGCCTTGCGCACCGCCGGGCATCACGACTTGAGCGATGTTCCGATACTGTGAGGGGAAAGACGCACAACCCTCGGCGGTTTGTGGTTGGAAGGGGGGGAACCGTCTACTGTTGTTGGTTATGCGTGCCGCACAGGTGGGGTGGAGTGAGATTGGCGTGGGCGCATGTAGGGAGCCTGTTTTTTTTTTGGTTGTGTGTGTCACATATCATTCTTTTTGTCGTTGTGGAGAGGGGGAGGGAGAATTGCAGGCGTGTAATGGGATGAGGCGGTCTACTGCGTGTCTGTCTTCTTTCATTCTCACTGTGTTAGAGAGAATCAAACAGAGACAACACACAGCTCTGTGGATGAGGGGCGTTTCGCCATTCCTTTTTGTTTCTGTGTGTGTGTGTGTGTGTGTGTGTGTGTGGTTTTGAGGGGTTTCTTCTTGGGCTACCTCGCCTTGTGCTGCGGCTTCATCGCATCTCCGTGCCTATTCCGCGTTCTTGCTTGTAACAGAAGGGCGCCGTTGTTGCACACGTGACGCACGCACAGCGAAATACATACACTATATATATATATATATATATAAGATAGATAGAGCGAGAAAGAAAGAGAGACCATTAACGAGGTTTTCCCACTGTGTGCCTTTAACAGAAGGCATGGACGAAGTCTCCGTCATTCCAGTCGAGGTGCATTGCCGCCCAACCCGCGTAAATGACACGGAACTATCGAAGGTCATCACGAGTTTTATTCGGCAGCGTCATGCTGTGATACACCCAGGGGAGATTCTCTCACTCAAGAACGCGTCGGATCTCATCACCGCCACAGTGGAGCAGCTACGCGTGTGTGACGTGTACTGCCCACAGCACGGCATCGCCGCGGACGAGGCGGACTACGCCCCTGTGATGTACGCCTTGCACATGGATGAATACTACGACGTGCCGCTAGAGGATGGGGAGTTCGACGTTGACGACAGCATGGCGTTGCCGTCATGCAGTGTAATGCGGCTGCCGAACGCATCCCTGGAGGGGCTGTGGGAATCGCTCTTCTACGGCGAGACGCTGCACGACTCCGCCCTCCTCAAGCGTGACCTGCTACAGTACATGCGCACTGCTATGGTCTTCTCCAACGCAGGCGTGGACCCACACATCATTGCGTGGAATCGTCTGCTGCTGCTGCATGGCCCACCAGGCACAGGCAAGACGTCCTTGTGCAAGGCTCTCGCACACAAGCTGGCGATTCGACTAGGGGACTTGTTTCCCACCACCCTGCTGGTGGAGATCAACGCCCACAGTCTATTCAGCCGGTGGTTTAGTGAGAGTGGGAAGCAGGTGATGCTGCTGTTCAAGCGCATTCACGCTATGGCAGAGGAGTCCAACTGTCTCCTGTGTGTGCTGGTAGATGAGGTGGAGAGCCTGGCGGCAGCGCGGCAGTCGGCGATGAAAGGCAACGAGCCATCAGATGCCATCCGTGTCGTCAACGCCCTTCTCACACAGTTGGACAACCTACGGCGTAGACGGAATGTAGTAGTGCTGGCTACGAGCAATATCACAGGTGCCATTGATGTGGCCTTTATTGACCGAGCAGATAAAAAGATCTACCTTGGCGCACCGGGCTTGCAGGCCCGTCTCGCAATCCTCAAGTCAGGCACACAGGAAATGCTGCGACGCAGTTTGGTTCGGCCAGTGAATTCATCAAATGGGGAATGTACCCATGAAGAGAAGTGCTCGTTCATGGAGACTCGTGAAGTGGGGTTGGGTGAAAAGGAGTTGCAGCTTCTGGAATCCATCGCCAGAAAATGTGACGGATTCAGCGGAAGGACACTGAAGAAGTTGCCGTTCCTTGCCTACAGCGAGCACACGAGAGGAGGTGGCGGTGATACTCTGGGCTGTTACGCCATTTCTTTCACAGCGTATGCAAATGGGTTGATGTCGGCTGCTGAGGCGGAAGAATCGGCGCAGAGATCTATGGCGGCTTCATAGTTGTGCCTGGAGTAGGGCTCTGTTTTGGCAGGCTGTCTCTTGGAGCTTGGTCTATATGCCCCGTGTGTGTCTTTCCCTTTTAAAATTTATCCTCACATATGCCATGCGCATCTGTTTAATTGTTGTTGGTGCTTTTTTTTTTCGTTTGTGTGTTTTGTTTTCATTTTTACGGGGTCAAGCAGAGTCGAATACTTCGGACGGACTACTCGGTCCGAAGAGGATATCTGCTGCATTTGCTACGGCGATTGATGATGCGATGAGGCACGGTGCCTTGGATCACCTCCCGTCTTTCCCCCCCCCCCCCCNATATATATATATATATATACACACAGACACATACGTGCGCAGAGGGGGTGGGAGCAGTAGCGTGGGTGAGTGAGAAGACATGGGCCGCAACGTCCTGATGGTGGCGGAGAAGCCATCTCTCGCGGAGAGCATAGCCTTCCATCTCTCTGACGGAAGGGCGGCGAAGCGGCAACGCGCGCTGCCCGTGTACGAGTACACCGGCCACTTCTTCAACGCCCCTGCCTTCTTCAAGGTGACAAGCACCACTGGTCACGTCTTCTCGTGTGACTTCACGCCACAGCACCAGAACTGGGACCGCACAGAGGAGGAGGATCTCTTCCGCGCCCCAGTACACTGGAAGGATGAGTCCGGCAAGGTGTCCCGCCACCTCGCGCACGAAGCGGAGGGATGTGACACACTGGTTCTGTGGCTCGACTGTGACCGTGAGGGAGAGAACATCTGTTTCGAGGTGATGCAGGTTGTTCGTCACAGCATCTACGATATGCGAAACATATGGCGCGCAAAGTTCTCCGCCATCACGCGCGAAGAAATCGGCCACGCCTTCCTGCATTTGGGTAAACCGGACAAGAATGTCTCGGACGCTGTCACCTGCAGGCAGGAGTTGGATCTCAAGGTTGGTGTCGCCTTCACACGCTTCCAAACCAAGTACTTNCAAGGCAAGTACGGTGATCTCGACGCCAGCGTGGTCAGCTACGGTCCGTGCCAGACGCCCACGCTGGCGTTTTGCGTACAGCGGCACGATGAGATTTTGAACTTTAAGCCGGAAAACTATTGGAAGCTGGTGCCTGTGTCGAACCGCTTTGGTACGATACTCACATTTGACTGGGTGCGCGGCCGTGTATTTGATGAGCTGATGGCACGCCTGCTGCACCAGAAGGTGTCCCGTAACAAAGTCGCTAAAGTGATCAATGTTTCCGTCGGCACTGAAACACGTGCGCGTCCCACAGCCCTAAACACCGTGGAGCTCATGAAGGTGGCGAGCAAGGCACTTGGCATGGGCCCGCATCACGCGATGCAGGTGGCGGAAAACTTGTACATCTCCGGCTACATCTCCTATCCACGTACCGAATCTACTGCATACCCGTCATCGTTCAACTTGACGGGCGCTCTTGCCGCGCAGGAGCGAAGCCCGCTCTGGGGTGCCCATGTGCAGGAGCTCCTGAAACAAGGACACACGCGACCCAAGGCAGGCAAAGACGCTGGGGATCATCCACCCATTACACCCATGCGTGGGGCGGGCCCAGGAGAACTCTCAAGTGACGCTTGGAGATTGTACGAGTACATCACACGACATTTCATCGCGACGCTCTCACCAGACTGCAAGATGTCTCGCACAAAGCTCGTGGTGGAGCTCGGTGAAGAATTATTTACTTTCACTGGGAAGGTAGTGGAGGACCCAGGGTTTACAACGATCCTTCCTCATTATGCCGTGAAGGATGATAAGGTGCCAACAAACATCCAAGTAGGTAGTGAGTTCACCTTCTCAGACGTACGGCTGCAGGCGGGACAGACACAACCGCCAGGGTACCTGACGGAGGCCGACCTCATCGAACTGATGGAGAAGCATGGCATAGGCACCGATGCATCCATTTCGCAGCACGTGAACAATGTGGTTGAGCGTGGCTACTGCGCAGTGAAGCCAGGACGTACGATGGAGCCAACCAAGTTAGGTGTGGTGTTGATTCACGGTATCAAGAGTATCGACCCAGAGTTGGTGCTGCCGTTGGTGCGCAGCAAGGTGGAGGAGTACGTGACGTGCATCGCCGAGGGTGCCGCCGCCCTAGACGAGGTGCTCTCATACTCGTTGGATCTTTTCTTTGGTAAATTCCGATTCTTCAAGCAGAACATTGAGCGTTTTGATGCACTCATGGGGGCCTCTTTTTCATCACTCTCGGCATCTGGTAAGCCCATCACACGGTGTGGGAATTGTATGCGGTACTTAAAACATTTGGAGGCACGCCCGCAGCGACTGTACTGCGCCTATTGTGAAATCACTTACGCATTGCCACAGGGCGGGACCATAAAACAATACTCTAGCTTTAAATGTCCGTTGGATAACTTTGAGTTGGTTATTTGCCACGTAGATGGTGGTAAGTCCTTTCCCATTTGCCCGAATTGCTATAACAATCCGCCGTTCGAGGATGCAGTGCAAAAGGGAGGTCAGCGAAGGCAATACATGGCGTGCGATGAGTGTCGCCATCCGACTTGCTACCACTCCTTGGCAACCAATTACGTGGCGGACTGTGTCGACGAGCGGTGTGATGGTTGCATGGCCTTCGTGCCACGTACTTCAGGGAAGTGGAAGATCTGTTGTAATCACTGCACCATGATGATTCTACTCCCTCCTACCGCTCAGCGCGTGTACGTTAGCTCCGAGGAGTGTGGAGACTGTGGTGCCATGATGATGGACCTGCAGTTCCCTGAAGGGAAGTCGCCCCTTCCAAACCGCAAGGACCGCATTGTGGCGTGTGTCTTCTGCGATCCTGCGCTGAGTAGCAGCGTGGAGGAGGTGCGAGGCCGCATGGGGAACTTTAGCAGGCGCGGCGGTGGCGATGGCGGTCGTGGTCGTGGCAGAGGTGGCAGAGGCGGCAGAGG